CACTGGAAGAGCTCCTGCTTCCATTAGCTTCCCCTCTTTGCTCATTCATGGAGTGATCTTTGTGCAGGGGGGTTCCCTCGCTCGATGTCTGTGCTGATTTGTAGGAGTGACCGGAAGCGAAGTCCCGTCGTCTTTGTTCAGCACTGGTAGAGTTGCTGCTTCCAGTACCTTCTCTTCCTATTTGTTCATCCATGGACTGATATTTTTGCAAGCGGTCGTCTAGTTGCTTTGGTTTCGGTTGATACTCAAACTTCTGGCCTTTCTTGTTCAGATCAAAGAAATGCAACAGTGCCTCTTCGTGAATCTCTCGGTGTTGGTTGTTCCAAGAAAAGATGAAGCTGCTCCTTCCATCTAAAAATTCTTCGCTAAACTGCGAGGATATCTTCCTCCAGGCCCATCGTGAAATAACGACTCGGTCTTTTTCGTCTTCACTCCTGTAGTTGTCATCTCCTCCAATGACGATAATGACTTTCCCTCCTACGGAGAAAAAAAATCACAAATTCCAGTTCTCAATATAAACAGAAAAAAAAACCAAGGCATTTTTGCGGGTTCAATTTATCCACTACTCTCGCGACGTCGACATTCAACCGAAACTTTCATGATTAGGAATTGTTATTTTTAGAGTTGTGAATTTCGCCCTAGATCCGACTTCGAATTATGTCCGCTGCCCTACACTAGGTAACTATGTACGTTTTGCAAGTTTGTTTGTTTCTGTTTTAGTTTCATAAAAATATCGAAACAAGCTTATAGTCAGGGCTGACACAGAATACTGTGCGCTTAGAGCAACTTGCTTTTCTAACTTATATTCAATCTATCATAAAAAGCTGACATTACTTCTTAATTACTAACTTAGATAGATAGATAGTAGATAGATAGATAGCCTTTATTTCAACATGATAAGTTTTAAAGCTAAAAGCTTGTGGGGTCGTGTATAAAATAAAAGAAAGACCTAATAACAATGTAATAAATAAGTAACAATCAAAAACTACTGACCAGCGTATTGTAAAATTCCCGCTAATTTGACTCCCAAGCGGAGGATAAAAAAAATTAAATTGTTTATTCATTCCCACGACCGTCAACTTCTAGAAATAAGTATCCAAACAAACTTATTGGTCTATATGATCTTGAAAACGAGAAGAAAAATAAACGAAAGAAGAGAAATTAAAAGAAAACAATCTGGTTAGCTTATACAAGGTGTTATGGGTAACTCTAATTTCTCATATGACATAAAGTGAATAACTATGGGCTCATGGCTTTCGTTCAAAACTAGAATGAGCAATTACGGGAAGGGGATCTTCCCTGCAATAAAGGGGTGCCGTTTATTGAGTTATGTTCACACTCGCGAGCCCCAGTCCAATTCTCAACGTTGTATGTTACTTGGGTACTTTTAGTACCAGTGGCTGAACACAACACACTTTTGTTCCGGGTCTCAGGCACCAGTGTTCGAGCACCAAGTGTGAATACAACCTACTAAGGCATGTATTTATATCTGTCATAAGTTCTTGTTTGGCCACTGGAGTTGCAATGAATAGTTCTATACCCCACAAAGCCGCGCGGGATGAGGGACTTGGATGTTACAAATTACGTGTTCGGTTGCTCAAGTTGAACGAGACACTGCCTAATTTTAACAGAACGAGGAATGAACGTAACATAAAAAATCTTTGCAATCTTTGCAAGAACTAACACATGGACTCTACTTCGTCCAGATTGATCCTGCACTTGGCCTAACAGTTGCGAGACGTGCATGTACATTACAAACGTTGCATAAAGCATAATTGTCTCAGCAAAATGGCAAAAACGTTTAGTGTACCATCACCTCTAGTAGAAACATTTTTTAGCATTGCTTAAAAAGAAATTTATGGGAATAATTACTTTCACTTTCGCTCGATTCCCTTCAGGGCAAAAATATGTGTCGAGTCATACTTGTCTAATTTTCAAGTAATTTTGATCACTATAGATAGGCTAAAAGTATAGAAAACTTGGTTACATGAAGCGCTGTTTACCTTGTACAAAGTGCTGCGAAGTTTTAAACGTTTGAGTTCTTAGAAATAGTAGAGTAGGGAAATCTACCCAGTAAAAGTGCTTCCGCCTCAATACTCACCAGTTCTTTCCAGTAGAGCTCTGTAGATATTGGCGTAACCGATTCCAGCGTTGTCTTCGTTGATCGACAGCCGAGATTCGTGTGCATGGACTACAAAGAACGCCATGTCCATGTGTAGTTTGGGAATGGTGTTGGTGGTCACGTCAGACATCTGACCAAGTGAGAAATAGTGCTTCTCCACGACTGGGTCAAAGCCGAGTTCGACGAGTTTCGCTTTCGTTGCGTTTAACAAACCTTCGACAGCTTCCAATTTGTAGGTACGGTCACAATTAAAAAGATACAGCTTTGGTCGCTGTGACATCGTCTCTGATTGTTAAAGCAATCTTTACGTCCTCTACGTAGCTTGAAACGCAGCTTTCGATCGCAGCTTTGAAGAACTGAATTAAAAATGCAACACTT